GCCATTATTTGTAACTACATAGCTTGTTAACGAAGAAGCTCTTGTTCTACTGCCTATAAGGGGTGCCTTTAGGAACTTGTCATTTCCTTATGGTACTGGAGTATGGTGTTTTAAGTATTCCTTGCTCTTCAAATGGGAAATTACTACAGATATTACAAACAACAATTAAATAGTTATTTCGGATAAGTCAAGCAGCAAGTCTTAATGGGAAGTATCCCATTAGTGCAACTGAGTCCCAGTAGTGCAACGGTTTTGCTGATGCTTCTCCTACTAAATGGAACAATACAGATGTCCAGCAAACTCTCCTAAAGTACAATACATTACTGGAGAGCTCAGAAAAGTAAAAGCTCTTTTGAGACTTTTAAAACCAAGATAAAACTTTGACAGGTGTCAATCTCAGACTTTTAAAAACATTTCATTTTAGATAAAGAGTGCATGTGTGTGCATGTCAATGAGAGAGACCAGCTCTGTTCTTTCTTCTTCTAGGACAAAGAACTTCTCACCAGAATATGATGTTATGGAGCACACAAGGATAAGCCGCACATGACTGAGAGAGACTGCTCTTTCTTGAAATCTCTGTATAGTTCTATAAATTTGTTCTGTGCTTTATAGCACATAGATGTGATACAGTCCCAGCTCCAAAGAGCTTACCATCAAAATAAGAGAGGACATAGAACAACAGATCAAAAGTAGGAAGGGTTTGCTAATGAGGAGAAGGAAAGAGATGCAAATTCTTGAGGATGTGGGATCAAAAAGGATGGGAAGCTGGTTGGCAGAGGAGGAAAGAGAAATGGTTTGAAGTTTACTGGACAGCATAATAGATAGGATGAAGTCAAGACTAAGGCTAGAAGACAGAGCAGAATAAGACCAGAGGATTGGGAAGAGCACAGGGAGCTGGAAGGTAAGACAGCTGTTCAAGTGGTCTGCAATAAAGAAAAGATCACTCTTTCTCTGCCCCTCTAGCAGAACCCTCTTGGTTCCCACCTCACAGAGATCAAAGGTATCTGTAGAAAAGTGGAGAGGGAAGCCATTGTGGAGCTGGCTGGCATATTGAATAGTCAGTCTGTGCTACCTGACTGCTGTCCTACTTCCCTACCTCCCAGCTCTGTGGGAGCTGATGGGAAATTCAATAATCAAGCAACACTCAGCTCACTTTTCCTTCTCCCAGCAGGAGAACAGAAGCCCCCTGGCAAAGTACACAGCTGCAGTAGGCAGGTAGTTTTTCAAGCAGTGGGTGGGGTAACAGGAACAGTTTTATTGCATGCAAAACAGAAAGTTTATACCCCCAGCAGCAGTGCCCCTCCCCGTCCATACTGCCTTTGATCTCTAGGTGGTGAAGAATGTGCTGCTCTCTAGCTCCCTTTGGAGTGGTAGATGCCTCCACTGCAGATCTTCACCCATCCATGGTGTTAACACTGCCCCATTACTGTACCATCTTTTAATCTCACAAGTTAATTGTCTTCAGAATATCCCAGTGCAGCAGTGAAGTGCTATTATCCCCATTTCACAGATGGGGAGCTGCGGCACAGAGACACCTTTCCGAAACCACATCGGGCACTGTGGCAGAGCAGAAAATTGAACTTGGGTTTCCTCAGCAAAGGCAACATCCTCAACACTGCACTTGTTAGGCAACTGTTGCTACATGACTTTCAAACTGCACTATAAACATCGTCTTCAGCAGCACGTGCTACTTCCTCTCAGTCTGTAATTTCAGAAGATCTCTCCTGAGGCCTGGAAGATGGCTGCCTATTGAATCCACCCCGAGTTTTAAAGGTTTTTGGGGAAATGTGTCTATATTAAGAAACGCCTAACAGACTTTGTTGGATAACCATTTCAATCCTAACTGCAGTAAAATGAACATAATGATTACATACATGTAAGATCCAATCAGGATGATATCATTTAGAAAGCCTTGGGTGGCGGGAGGAAGAGCAGGTAAGGAGAAGTGAAAGAAACATGTTTCACAATGTTCTGTGTAGTACAAAGAAGAACCATGAACAATTATTTCCTACGTATGTGTCAGCACACAGTGTTAGTAAAGCATATAGCAGCACGGTTGAACATAACTGTAAGCATGCTTGAAGAAAAGACAAATACAAGATGTGTGGGCAACATTCCTGAGAAGGAAATAGAAAGGCAAGGTGTATGCATACAAATGGATGGCAATAACTGAGACAGTCAAGCAGGAAACATACTCTAACATAAGGCATCTGAAGTAACATCAGATTCAGAGAAGAAGAACTTAAAAAAAATCATAAAATTTACACTGTTCTAGAAATCACTAGCAGACTGAATAACCAATGTCTTTACTTCCATGGCTTTAGCTACACGAATTGCAATTTATCTGTCAAGTAACAACTCTACCAGGGATCAACAATGAGAAATGCACAAAAATGGTTGTTACAATAAAATTCTTTGGAGGGCAAGTTGAACTAACATATTAGTGTCAGAAGAAACAAAGTAATGGAAGGAGTAAAATAGCGTCCATTCAAAGGGCATTATTCACGCACAACACAGAGTAATAGCAGTAGCTAATGACAAGCTTCAATAAGTCTTTCTTTCTTTCTCTTGTTACTGAAGATGACATTATCTTTACATATATATACACACCAGCAACACCATCACAGGACCTAACCAGATCAGCCTGTCACTGGTTCATTCTCCTGCACATCTAACAACGTAATATACGCCATCATGTGCCAACAATGCCCCATTGCTATATACATCGGCCAAACTGGACAGTCCCTACATAAAAGAATCAATGGACACAAATCAGATATTAGGAATGACAACATACAAAAACCTGTAGGGGAACACTTCAATCTTCCTGGACACACAATTGCAGATCTCAAGGTAGCCATCCTGCAGCAAAAAAACTTCAGGACCAGACTTCAAAGAGAAACTGCTGAGCTACAGTTCATCTTCAAGTTTGACACAATCAACTCTGGATTAAACAAAGACTGTGAATGGCTCGCTAACTACAAAAGCAGCTTCTCCTCTCTTGGAATTCACACCTCCAGATCAGCTACTAGAAGTGGGCCTCATCCTCCCTGATTGGATCCACCTCGTCATCTCCAGCCTGATTCTGGCCTGCATATTTATACCTGCCTCTGGAAATTTCCACTACATGCATCTGACAAAGTGGGTCTTTGCCCACGAAAGCTTATGCTCCAACACTTCAGTTAGTCTATAAGGTGCCACAGGACTCCTCACCGCGTTTGCAGATTCAGACTAACACGGCTACCCCTCTGATACTTGACATTATCTTTATTCACTTACTACATGCCACAAGAATTACTTAGGAGTAGTCTAGGTTTCAAGGTAGTTTACCTTCAATAGAAGAAACAGTATTTTACACTCATGCTATTTATTACATCACTGCAAACAGCTACGTCATATACTGATGTATGTTGGGTTTTAACACAATTCATTGATTGTGTATATACATCTATCCATGAAAAATCTGTGACTTGAGGTAAGCCAATGGAAAATGAATGTTTTGAAAGCACGACTAGAAAAAAGAAATGAGCGCAAAAGTGCATAGGTTAACATTTTCACACCTGTGTGCCTAAAGAATCTCTAGTCTCAATATTTAGGCATCCAAATATAACCTTCACCATCTATATATCACAGTTTCCATGCAGGGTGAGGAGCAAGAGACAACATTTAATCAAAAACAATGAATGCTCAGCAAAATTCTAAACTGTGCTATGAATAGAACAAAAAATTAAAGGCTATAGGGCTTGAAGAGATGAAGGAAAGTGAATCAATGAAGCTACACTGCATCTGCTCAACTCCTGATTTGCTCCCAGCTTTTTGGCAATGAAACATTGTTAGGCCTGAAAGCTCAAAAAATTCAACTGAAGCCAAAAAAGTACTGATGAACAGCAGATGGTGCAGAAAAAAGTGACCTCTGTAAACCATCTTGAAATTACAGCAAGTAGTTAGGTGTTCTGAGAGCTTGTGGAAAGACTTACAATTTATGTCACTTTGGATACCTATGGGAGCTGAGACAAGATGTCCAAGGAAATGGTCAGACTTTGGAAAATATGCAGTGAATTCTCATGAAACATTATGCCCTCACTAGCATTAGTAAAGGGAAATATAGAGGGTAAATTAAAATGTGTTCTCACCTGGGCACCCACTCTAAAAGCAGCTTCTACTTGAGCCTTAAGGATGTTACATTTCATATGATCGGGCACAGAGGAAGGTGATACTGGGGGATGAAGACTTTTTTCAGAAACTTTCTTCTCTTCTCCCTGTGGTTTACACAAAAGATAACATGGCAACACACATTAGAGAAAGAAAGAAAGAAGTTAAACAATTTATCACAATGATCAGCTCAATTTTTACATTGAACAACCCGTTTTAATGCCACTTAAGGTGCTTTTCCAGTTTGTTACCAGATAGAAATGTCTGACTAGACAAATTATTCAAAAGATTTAACTTTAATCTGTTGCCAGGATGACAAAAGACCTTTGGGGGAAATGAGATGCCACTGGATAGTAGGAATAACAGAGTGACCTACATGTTAAGAAATCTGGGGGCAGAGCCAGGATCTGGAGTTAGTTATCACCAAAATCATTTCTAAATAAAAAATTACACTGAAAAAACAGTATGTTTCACAGAAAGGCAAATTGGGTTGTGGGAGAAAAGGATGCAGGCTCAAAGCTCAGTTATACTAAAGCCCTTTTACATCACTGACAGAGTAAATGGGCCTGAAAGTGAATGCAAAATGTAATTTGCACTCACTATAAGGCCCTATGCCCTGCCAAATGGCATGCACGGACCTTATAACTGAGAAGAAGGCCCTCTCCCTGAACTGTCAGAAAGAGCAGAAAAGTCCAATAAGCTTAACACACACAATAATAGTCCAATAAACTTAACTCTGTTTTCCTTGCTTCTGAGGGTATGTCTACATGACATTTAAAAACCTACAACTAGCCCATGCCAGCTGACATGGTGCATGAATCTGTATAATTGTTGTGTAGACTTTTGGGCTTTGGTTAGAGCTCAAGCCCCAGGAACCTGCAAATAATCACGACTGAATGCAACTGTTTTCACACCGTATACACCATTTTAACAATCATTGTATAACATGTGCCTTGTGAGGTGGTATATGAAAACTAACAACTTGCTAGTCAATCATAGTGAAATGTACTTAGTCACTTCACACGTAAAGGTATGAATATAAGATGAAATTATACTTGAAATATGTTTGCTAGACAAGTCTGGGGAAGAGACAAACCTGTTTCTCAAAGACAAAGGGAAAGCTAATGCTTCTAGCCAGGTGTCACCAGTTGATTGGCAATCCCAGGTCAAGTGGCCAATTTTTGGCAGTGAGAGGAGGAGGAGGGAGGCAGGCACAGATTAATTTGCATTTTAACCAGCATCATCATGGAACCTTTTCCCTTACAAGACTGCATGCCTCCATCCTCACAGCTGGAAGGAACTTTATCTAGGAGAAACCTACAAGAAATGCAATTAAAAGGGGTTGACTGGATTATAATTGGACCACAACTATAATCTCTCTCTCAGTTGAGAACACAAAAAAACCAGACCTTTGGATGTTGGGCGGGTTCTGACCTGAGAATTTGGTCAACATTTGGGAAGAATTTCACATTGAACAAAGTTCAATTGTTAAGTATCAGCCCTAGAAAACATTTTTTTCCCTCTTGTAACCATTTCTGATTTTAATGTCTTATATTTGTACTCATTTAAGACCTTTCTCTTTCTAGTTAAATACATTTGCTTTAATCATTAGTCAAATCTAATCTAGTGTGGTGCTTAAACCAAGACCAGTTAAAGTAGCAAATAATTGTATATTGGCAATGGATCTATAATAGCTAGACTGTCCAGGAGAGGGATGGGCAATACAGAACATAAGATTTTTGGGGAAAAACTGGCACTGGGGGTGTATTGGGTATCACCCTGCATGTAGTAACCAAGTCTGGTGACCAGATGTTCCAATTTTCTAAGGACTGCTTAGAAAATTTGGGCTGCTTTATTTTATATAGGAGTTTATCGCCCCGTCTTCTCATTTTTCACAGTTGTTGCCTGGTCACCCTATAACCAAGACTGGTAGAAGGCCAGTGTGGTAGGTTGCAACTATACACAGACACTCAGGGGCTGTGTCTACATTGGCATCCCTTTCCGGAAAAGGGATGCTAATGAGACACTTCGGAATTGCAAATCCGCGGGGGATTTAAATATCCCCCGCGGCATTTGCATTTGCATTTACATGGCTGCCGCTTTTTTCCGGCTCGGGGTTTTTGTCGGAGAAAAGCGCCAGTGTAGACACGATTCTCCGGAAAAGAAGCCCTTTTCCGGGAGATCCCTTATTCCTACTTTCAAGGGATCTCCCGGAAAAGGGCTTCTTTTCTGGAGAATCGTGTCTACACTGGCGCTTTTCTCCGGCACAAACCCCGAGCCGGAAAAAAGCGGCAGCCATGTAAATGCAAATGCAAATGCCGCGGGGGATATTTAAATCCCCCGCGGATTTGCAATTCCGAAGTGTCTCATTAGCATCCCTTTTCCGGAAAGGGATGCCAATGTAGACACGGCCAAAGTGTGACCTGCATGTTCTTTGACTATTTGGGAGCACATTCTGGATGTTCCATCAGCAAAGCATTACAAGGCACACACGGTTGCAGGGCAGGCGGGGACACAACCCTTCACTGGTTGCATCTCAGAATGTGATAACGGGAACATTCCGGAGCATAGGCTGCAGCCCAAGAACAAATGCCAACACTGCAACTACACCGCTCCTTAGCCCAAGGCCTGCAAGCTAAGGGTATGTCTACACTACAAGGTTAATTCGAACTAACGGACGTTAGTTTGAATTAACTTTGATAGGTGCTACACTAGTGCTCCGCTAGTTCGAACTTAATTTGAACTAGCGGAGCGCTTAGTTCGAACTAGGTAAACCTCATTCTACGAGGACTAAGCCTAGTTCGAACTTACTAGTTCGAATTAAGGGCTGTGTAGCCCCTTAATTCAAACTAGTGGGAGGCTAGCCCTTCCCAGCTTTCCCTGGTGGCCACTCTGGCCAACACCAGGGAAACTCATATGCCCCCGGCCCGGCCCCGGACCTCTTAAAGGGGCACAGGCTGGCTACGGTGCCCGTGCCAGGTGCAAGCCTGCCAGCACCCCGCCAGCAGACCCTGCAACTGGCACGGGTGCAG